GCTTCTAGTCAAGGGCAGGAAAAAGGTCTGTGCAGCGAGCAGTAGTTATAAGGCTGACAGCCCACATGGTACATTGTCAGCATAATATAATACTTAACGTATAGGTAGGGATTAAGGCAGAAAGGAAAGTGCATGAGGAATGGGGAAAACAGGATCATTCAATTCACTACACTCAGTAAAATCCCCTCTTTTTGCGATTGGTTTGGATTTATTTTGCAGCTGCAGAATTGTGAATATGTTCATGAAGGCCTCTTTCCATCTTTAAAATCTGATTTCAAAGTCTGGGAGCCCTCTCTATGCTACCTGACTTAAAAGAGGACTGTCTCTTTCATGAACTAATTGCTACTGATTTGAATTCATCCTGTGAGTTAGGCAATTAGACGTGTAAAATTTTAAAACTCTCTATATAGATAATTATTTGCCAACCATCACCTCTCTTGAAACTTTGACCAAATTAAGCCAGTTTTGCTAGATTTGTTTTATAGCTGGAAAAAGCTAGGTAAAGAGTAATTAAAAGTCTTGTTTAAGACTGCGGAGCCGGTCAAAGGGCAGAGCTAGTAATAAAGTCATTATCTTTGTCTTCCAGAAACCCATTTCTTCTTCTCACCCAGTCTCAAACTTAGATAGTTTATATATCTGTGGGTATATAGATTGTGACAGATAAGAGGCAGTGCTGTCTCAAAGACACAGTAGGCAGAGATTCTTGAGAGAATCTTGAAAATTTTTTTTGCATGCATTTGTTAATTCATGCACAATTGGAAGTATTCTTGATGAGCTGATGAACTATGATAGATTTGTCAGTGTTCTCTATAAGAAGTGCGCCGATATCTGGGTATCTCTTTTGAGAATTTGGTGAATCAGTGCATGTGATGTGTTTTTAACTCAGAATAGACATAGACACATCCTGGAAGGTAAAATCCTTCTGACTCCCTGTTGCTACTAATCTTCTCTTGACCTATCCCTTGAGTAACCTCACTGTGATTACAGGACAATTTTGATGCTATTGTGTACTCCATGGCAAGCACTATATTTAGGGCTCTCCAGTGGTTGCAAACTGTCTTCTCAAGTCTGCATGATTAGAGCCTCCTACTTTTCTTTAAAGCATGAGCTACAAACAGGACACAAGTAATAAAATCATCTCCATTTCCTGCACTTAAAAGCAATGTTGTAGCTCAAGAAGTCAGTGTTCTTCAGATTACCATATGTTAGAGAGACCAAAGCAAAATGTTTGTATTAAATTAGTTTTCCCAGTCAAAAAAAAAAAAAGAAAAAAGAAAAGAAAAAAAAAAGAAAACTCCAAATCACCACACAAACTCACTGTCGCACACATGCATGCACACATACACATGCACAGATAGGAGCAGGAGGAACTGAAAAGGAAAATGCACTGATGATATTAGTTGTGACTGAATGGTTATAGTCACTGTATCCATCTGAAACTATTGCTCTGTGAATTTTCTCATGCCCATCTGTCAGATCAGGATGAATACCTCAGTAGCAGAAAATCATCAGTTTGATAGTTGAAGTTCAACTCTTCCAATTAGTAAAGAATACAGTAAGCACTGTGTTAAAATGAACCCTGAAAGATATTCTTGCTTGAAAGCCAACTCTGTACAGGCTCTGTAGAAAGGCTAGATGGGGAAGGATCACACTATTCAAAGGAGCAGCTTAAATGTTCAGACTTCTGCTGTGGAAGGGATGATGGGCCAAGCGAGAACCTGGGGGTCAGGATTAGGTAGGAAGCTAACAAATGGAAACATCCTGGTGGGTGCCTTCGGGATGCCTTGTCAAGGCTCATGAAGGACAGAAGGAGGTGATTATAAAGAGGCAGATCAATTTACGAAGGGTAAATTGTGCCTTGCCAACCTGACAGCTTTCTGTGATGAGATGACTAGCTCTGCGGATGAGGGGAAATCAGTAAGTGTTATTTGCCTTGATTTTAGCAACGTTTTCAGCACAAATTCTCAGTCTTGTAGCCAAATGAGAGAGAGAGTGGATGGATGGATGTACTAGAAGATGAGTGGGACACCGGCTAGACCACCAGACCCAAAAGGTAGTGGTCAGCAATTCAAACTCCAGTAAATGATGGCAAGTTACTTGTGGTGTTCTACAGAGTTGATACTGGTGCTAATGCTGTTTAACATCTTCATTAATAACCAGAATGATTAGATAGAGTGCACTGTCAGCAAGGTTTTAATAACACCAGACTGGGCAGAGCAGGTGATACATTGGACAGTTGCCGTTCAGAGGGATCTCAACAGGCAGGAGAAATGGGCTGAAGGGAACCTCACGAACTTCAATGACAACAGGCAGGAGTTCCTGCACCTGGACAGAAAAAAAAATGCAGCAGGCCCAGCTAGGCAGCAGCTTTGCAGAGTGGAGAACAAGTTGCAGATGAGTCAGCCGTGTGCCCTTGCAGTGGTGAAGGCTAACAGCAAATTCGGCTGCACTACTAACAGCCTAGGCAGCGGTTCGAGGGACATCTACTCATCACCTGTGAGACTTCACTGGGAGTACTGTGTCCAGTTCTAGGACCCCCAGTATGCCAAAGTGTGTTGGGTGGAGGATAACCAAGATGGTGGCACACACAACAGTGGCTGGGTCTGGTGCACAAAACATTCAAGAAAAGAGGGAGCTCAGTTTGTTCAGCTTGGAGAAAAAGAGGCTGTGGGAAGAATCTAATTGCTTTCCTCAGCCATCTAAGGGATGGTTAGAGAGGAGACAAAGCCAAACTCCTCTCGGAGATGCACAGTAGTATGAGGCAACAGACACAAGTTGCTTTAAGGGAAATTCTGATTAGATATAAGAGAAAACTGTTCTCAGTGAGGGTGGTATAGCACTGAAACAGGGATCTAGCAAGGCTGTGAAAGTCCTTCTGAAAGCAACTGCAACTGATAGTGCGAAGGATGTGCAGGTTCTGCTTGTGTTCATGAGAGGAAGTAAAGGAATAACTGAGTTTCCAGAAGAAATTCCAAGTGCCCTAAATATTATTTTTTATAGTGTTCCCACAATTACTAGTTTCTGATCAAGAATTCTCTTTAGCTTTACTTCAGGAGAATCTGATGCGGATATAAGACTTTGTTCCTCAACGGGTTAGAAGCAGTTGGTGATAGTATGAGAATGCTTTAGAAAATGACTTCTGAAAGAGATTTGTTATTTTAATAGATACTAGTTTTTAAAGCAGAGGAAAGATGCTTTCATTCTGAAGATTGCAAACTTTGTTTGTATTTGGTACTAGACCTTCTCACAGTATACAAAAATAAAAAGAAGATAAAATCAATACTGTAAAAAAATAATCTTTTTCTTCCTGTAGCAAAGGTAGCGGTCTTTAAGCGTATGGGGCTAAATATTTATGTAAGTAAAAACTATGATTCTAAAAAGGAAATCCTTTGTTCAACCTTCAGCGATAATACAGTTATAAATAATTCCATATGCCTAAAGCTAAAAATATTATAATCATATGGCCTTCAGCTTTTATCTATCACTCCGAAGTGTCCAGTGTTATGGGGCACAATGGGAATAAATGGGTATGGGTGTATAATATCTTTTCAGATACTAAGCATTTTAATATTAAACTATACCTTACTATGGTAACTGATACATGCCATGAAATGTGTACACACCAAATTGTATGCATTTCATTTTTAGTTTTTATTCACAGATTACACAGTTATATAGAAATAATGGCATTAATCATCAGTAGCTGTTGTGCAGTAGCATACAAGTTCTTTGAACACAGAATTATCTTTCAATAACTGCACCAAAACTGGAAAGAAACTGTGACATTCTCAAAATATTTGAATTCTTGCACTAATGTTATATTCTTAATTTGGGATACGTTACTTAGGTTTTGAAATCCTGCAGTGAATATTTGACAATAGAAATATGATCAGTGTTTTCATTAGTGCTGTAATCATGCCTACCATGTGCAAAGAGACCCTGCAGTCTATGCAAGTTTAAAGTACAGTCATTCATTTGCTAATATACAATATAGATGAAGAGAACTAATGAGCTACTATGCTAAGCATTGGTATGTTCATCAGCCTGATACAATGCCTGAAGAGTCTTTGCTGACCAAGCAGGCATTAGGCAGGCAGAGAAGGGGTGCCTTCCATCACTTTTTGTACTACACTGACTGTACATTGATCATTCTCATCCTGAGTCCTTGAGCTATTATAACAATCCCATCTCAGCAGTCCTGCCTCTGTCTGAAATTTTACTTATGGTGCATGGCTCTACTCTACACTTTCTCACAGCTCTGTAGTTTTCTCCAGACTCTGAGCCAAGATTATGCAGCTGGGTCAAATCAGAGCTCAGCCTTGGGTCACTGCTGCTGAATCCCACTGTGGGAAGAGGAGAAGGTTAGGGCATTACAGGTGGCTGGAAACTAGTCTGGAGATGGGTTTCATCAATAAGTTAAAGATCAGGTTGGGTAGCTTTCAGATTCACAAATCTTTTTAAACTGGGTCTATATTTCAAACCGAAAATCAGCTGAGTGCATATGAACCATCATAGTATACATGCGTATACATGTACTACATACTAATGATAACTAGTGTAAACATGAAATGGTGAGGTTTATCCTCTGTAAAGATCAGTTGATCATCTTGGTTTTGCTCAAAGACAAAAAGCCGACTTGTAAGATGAGGGAGGCTGAAACCCTCACCCCCAAGGTCCCCTAATTGTAAGCTGAATACATCATGTTTCTTATAGTTCTAAACAAAAATTAATTACTAGTTATTATATATTCAGGATGTGATCCAAAGCCTAATGAAATTGAAAAGACAGACAGCAGTGAGCTGTGGTTTGGAGGCTGAGAATCTATTTCTTTCATCCTTAATTGATTGAACAGTACCCAAAGTTATGTACTGTTGTACATTGTGAATTCAATGGGAAGACAGGCTTTTAGACTTTTAATTTAATGTATCATTATGGACATTTCAATATTAATGAATTTCAGATTTTTAAATATCTTTTCTCTTTTTTTTTCCCCCTTTCAGGCAAGCCCTGCCCCTATAATTGTCAACACAGACACCTTGGACACTATTCCTTATGTAAGTATTAATTTTTTTGTTAATATATAGAATTTGTCTATTTTCCTACAGAAATTCTATTCAATATTGCATAGAAGTTATAAACAAATCTTACAATTTATCATGTCTTTTACAGTTACACAGTTAATTCTTTTCTAGAAGAAGAAATCAGGAATGATAATTGCAGTTAGGTGAATTAACAGCATATTATATACACATAATTTGTAGTTTAGACTAACACATAAACTGTAACTTACAAAAACTAGCCTTTCTTTGAAAAAAAAATGTGATTTCATTAAGTCCTTCCTCCTTACCAGTAGCATAAAATATGAATATTTCCTTTCAGAGCAGCATGCACCCTCCTAGCTTATTAAGAAGATACCCAGATGCACACTGTAATATGAAAATGGTGCAAGCAGCTCTTTGTCTGTCTACATTCCTGTTGTAGATGAAAGCTGTTCGTGATAAATAACAGCACAAACTAGATGACTTCATGTTTTCTAATTAATGTCGTTTCATTTTTGTGACTTCTAGAAAAAAAAGTTTTACCCTAAAATAAATGCATGTTTTTATTAGAGTTTAAAAAAAAATCTGCTTTTCTACAAGCATTTGATATCATTGTCATTTTAGACTGTAAAAGCAACTATAGTTGAAGATAAAGGACACAGAGAAAGACAAAGTGAATATGTAATAGAGTAACAGGCTTAAATGATTGGAGGCAAGAAAAGCAAGTAGTACAAAGCTAACTAGCCAGTATCTAATCTTTCTCCTTGCGTTCTCTTAGTTATCTTTTTTAAAGCTCCTAATTAATGTCTCTCATCTGTCGTGTTTTGTCCACATCTGTTTCTTATTAAACCAATGCATAAGCCCAATTATTTATCCACCTACACCAATCATATTGCTGGGTTCTGTCTTTTAGAAGGCTATTGATGAGGAAGTTTAATACGGGTTGTCCTGGCCAGCTTGTTTGTTTCTGACAATTTGTAACAGTTAGAAATTATTGTGCAGAACACATGTAAAGATCACAGCCAAGAGCAATTTAGAATGACACTGCTGTAAAGCAGAAAAGAATTAAATTCCTTGTTGGGAATTTCAACCATTGGGAAAGGTGGAAAAGTCAAATAAAATTCCTCTGTTCATGAATTTGCATTCATCTTTCTTAAAAGGCTTCCTATCATTTCTAAGTCTCGGTTTTCCTTTCTAACATCAGAACAATCTGCTATGGTCTCACTTTCAGTAGGTCTGGCTTTTCTTCTGTTTTAACAAGATATTTTACACTTATGTTCTCTAGATCTACCAAGAGGGACATTGTGAGCCCCAGTTCTCATTTCCAGAACTAGACCTGTGCCCAGGATACTCTGCAGATACAGTGTTATCATAAATACAGATGCAATTACACTAGTGACAAGATGTTCAATCAATATGATTTATTCCCATAACACAATCTATCAATACTTAGACACTTTTATACCACTCTTACACTAGTGTTCCTTTCTCTTAAAAAAAAAAAAGGACAAATGACCAAACACATTCAAGAGAAATATGGACAGTAGACTGAAAAGTGCCTGTGGGCTGTTTCAGTCTCCAACACATGATGTGAAGTAGATCAATAAACAGAAGGTGCTTGTTGTAAAAATAGACAATTCTGAATTAGTCACCTTGCTCTTACCCAGTGCTTGGGAAGAGTTCTGTCCCTTAGATATGGGACACAGCAGCGCTACAAAAGAGGGACTTATTTAGACTAACCAATAAAAAATGTGAAGGTGAAGCGTATTTGCTGAGCCCAGGCCACCATAGTGTCCCACAAGACATGGGGTCTTTGCTTTACAAATAGGCATTTCTTTCTGATCAGGATTTGTATGCTTGAACATTCTCCAAAATGAGACAGACAGACAAATATGGATAAATGACTTATTCCTCCAACCTAATAATTGGGAGAGTGGGATGGGAGACCTGTGTTTTCCTTCTTGCTCCCAGGACTAGATCAGATTAGTTTGGTTTTGTTTCGTTTTATGGTATTTCCTCTGCTAGGAAGGTGCTGTAGTCACTGGGCGGGATACATGTTTGCTGGTGTGTGCATCCCCTCCTGGCCCAATGAACCTTTCAAAAAGAGGTTTACAGACAGCATGTGGTGGGTTGACTCTGGCCAATAGCCAAACGCTTTTCTCACTCCCCTCTCCTGTGGGTCAGGTAGAAAATAGAAGGAAGGCAAGAAGTGTTGTATATTGAGATAATGACAGTTAAATAGGTAAAACAAAAGCTGCACGTGCAAGCAAAGCAAAATAGAGAGTTCATTTACTACTTCCCATCAGCAGGCAGATGTTTAGCCATTTCCTAGAAAGCAAGGCTTCGTCACGTGTTAACAGTTACTTGGGAAAGACAAATGCCGTAACCATGAATGTCTCCCCTTCCTCCTCCTTTCCCTGAGCTTTTATTACTGAGCAGGATTTCATATGGTATGGAATATCTCTTTGGTCAGTTGGGGTTAGCTGTCCTGGCTGGGTCTCCTCCCAACCCTTTACCCACCCCCAGCCAACTTGCTGTTGCGGGGAGGAAGGGCAAAATGGGAAAGAGAGAAAGCTTTGATGATGTGCAAGCTCTGTTCAGCAATAGCTAAAATGTTGGTGCGTTACCAACATTGTTTCAGCCACAAATCGAACCACTGAGTCATATGGGCTACTATGAAGAAAATTAACTCCACCCCAGCCAGACTTAGCACAGCCTATAATAACACTGTGTGGGGCCTACAACACAGCCTGTAACACTGGGGTGTTAGTGGGGCTCTCTTAAATATTTGGAAGGGCAGAGGAAAATCTTCCCAAACTGGATGAGCTAAGTGTATGATAATGCAGCCATCATCATATCATTTATTTTACAGGAAATATAATTTAGCAGATATGACCTAAAATATTTTTCCAGACAGGTCAGTTCAGAGAGATAATAGGAAGATAGATTTAATTATTATTTTGAAACTTGAACATGAGTCAAGTGCTGCCTTTTCAGCACTGTCAGGACTTCCAGACATGCCTGGAGGAAGACTGTAAATGCCTAGGAACATCTCTGGTGAATGTTTAAGTATCTTTAGATTTAGCTAGCTAGTTATTAAAGCTTCTGAAAGGTATTGTTCTTTTTTAGTTACCACAAAAAAAACATCTAACACTATAGGGACAAATTATTTTATGGATCAGAGAATCCAAGTTAAATTATGATATTTTCTGTCCAAAGCTAAAAGCAGTCATGATGTAGGTGGGCACAGAGTAGCCAATCCTCTCTCATAACTGTAGCATGCCTAAAACACCCAGTAGTGCTGATCTTCGGGGCTAGAGTCACCTTAGATCCCTGCTATTCAGCTCCTGTTGTCAAGCCTCAGAGCACACTTGGAGTCCAGGAAGACTCCTATGGGAGGAACAGGCAGAAATTTTTACATCTTACCAATTGGACCAGGTTTCCTATGATTACATTCTTTTTCTCATATCCTGTTTTTCTCTAGTCTTAGATGCTTGTCCTTTCATTCTTTCATTTGAATGTGCATTCTACAAAGCTGAGTGCCATTTCTAAATTAACTTGTTAAATAAAGTTAAAAGGCAAGTGGATATATATGCAAGTGATACATCTCACAAAAATTTTTTACCTATTAGGTTTTGATTTCTGACTGCTGGGTTTTTTTAAGATGCTTTTCATGGCAGCTCGTTAATGCTGTCCACTCATGTTTTTGAAAAAAAAAAAAGCTGCTTTAAAAAAATAATATATATTTTTTCTTTTATTAAAATCTATTTTTCTTAAATAACTGTAATTTTAATTGTATTTACCATAATGAAGTAATCCATTTTATGCCATGTAGAAATTATTTTCAAATTTTAAACACTGGAATAAGCATGGATTTGCAAATTTTGGTGAATCAAGATGGTCTTACTTTTCTCTGACATTACCAGCCACAAGTGATAGCCTGATAGATCCCTAAATAAGGTCAGGCTATTTTTAGTGTTGTTACATACCAGATGGAGACTTCTTATGATTTCGTTTAGCTGTTGGCTCAGCAGCACAAGAAACCTGTCTCATTGTTTTGTTTTAAGCAATATACCTTCAATGCATTTCCATTTTGGGAACAGCTCTGCTTATCCTCTCTGCCATCTTCCTCCAAAAATTCCTGAGTGTTTTCAGAGGGAGGGGGGCCTCACAGCAGTGATTACCATTTTCAAAGCATTTTCAATGTAACATTTCCACTAGTCCACCAGAGAGAAATTTGCTTTTCACAGTTGGTATACAACTGGTAAACTGCGTGATTTGTTTCATTAATATCCTAATGATTTAAATTCATGTAATTAAACCTTTTGGTACTATTGACATTCTTCAAACCTTTCAACTCAACAGTTTAGAAAAAGAAATCATCCTGTGAGGGACCGTTTTTCATCAGTATGCTTTTCTTAAATGAGATAAAAGAAAAGGCCTTATTCCATTACACTGTATGTTATTCCTTATAATTTGGGACTGCAGTGAATAACAGAAGAAACAGTTAATTAGCTTTGTTTCTAGGTTCAGTGGCTTGAAAACTTTGGCTTGCCAAGCTTTGGACATGGGAATAAATTTGATAGGAAGCTTCGATGGTACAAAACGAATTATTCTGTGGCATTTTAAGCACAATTAAACATTTGTGGGTGTTTGTTTGTTCTCTATTCTTTGGCTGTAAATTTTAGATCTTTTTGTATAATGAGAAGCATTAATTTAATAACATATGAATCATCTCAGTTTCTCTGTTGCACAGAATAAGCCTTATTTATTTCTTTTTTAGTTCTCGAAAAGCTGTATAGTTAAGTTAAAAGTAGCTGTAAGGCTGGCTTTGCTACATCACTTTCAGAAATTGATGGGAACCTTCTTATTAATTTTATGATGGAAATTCAGTTTCCTTTCATCTTAACTAAACATTAATATAAGTTCACTCAGGTACCATGGTTGTTCCCTTCCCCCCCCGCTTTGTCACAGTGATAAATTCTAAGGAATATGTACCCTCTTCTCCTTTTGGT